CTTTCAATGGTAGTAGGCTTGTGATGAGTTACACCTGGGCAGTGCCTGCTCTTAGCCACTGGGAGTGAGACCCAGTCATTCTGGCCTCACATGCTTTCTTAGGCAGGTGTGGGAGATGTGGTCAAAGCCCAGGGTTGGGGTCTGTGACTTAGATGCTGGCTTTGCCTCAGCAGCAAGAAATGATGATGATGATGATGATGATGATGATGATGATGATGATGATGACAGATGCTACCACTGCCCATGTGTACCAGGCACCATGGTGAATGCTACCCACATCATTTCTTTTACAGAAAGTCAAATCTTGCTTGATCTCAGAGGGCTGTCCTGAAAGTCAAATGGTGTCTCCAGGAGGCAGAACTTGATTCCTACCACCCTGAGAGTAGGCTGGATTGAGTGACTCACTTCCCAAGAAGAGTAGGAAAGGGGAAAATTAGTAACCTGGCAGACCTTACCTTAACCAGGTAATAAAGGCTAACATCCTCAGGGATGTCATATTGATAGTACTAACCCCCTACCCCTGATACGATGGGACAAGAAGGTTCACCAAACCCATAACCCCTTTCTAATTATAGAAAAACAGATAAACCCAGATTAAGGGACATTGCACAAGACACCTGGCTAATACTTCTTTCAAGACTGTCAAGATCATGGACAGTAAGAAGAATTTTGAGAAATCCTCACAAACCAGAGGGACTGCGGAGACAGGATGATTGAAGATAATGTAGTATCTGAATTGGATCCTGTAACAGAAGAACACTGATGGAAAAAAAAAACAGGTGAAATTGGAATAAAATCTGGAGTTTGGTTAATAGTATTGAACCAATGTTGGTTTCTAAGTTGTGACAAATGTGTTGTGGTCATATAAGATGTTACCATGAGGGGAAGCTAGGCAAACAGTACGAGGGGGCTCTCTCTGCTTTTTTTGCACGTTTGTAAATCTAATATGAAAAGTTTCAGGGAGAAAAGGGGTCTCCCCACCACTGGAGGGGTAAGAGGAGCTATTCTATTGTGCCAAGGTGGCGCTGAGAGTCCTTAGATCGTTCTACACTCTAAGTTAGGGTGTGATGCCAAAATGCAGCAGAATATTCCAGTTCCAAGTTACAGGTCTGGTCATTTCGATCTTTTGGTTTGCTACAATGTTAAAATGCCCTAAGTAGAACCCTCCTACACTGTTGGTGGGAATGTAGTTTGGTGCAACCATTATGGAAAACAGTATGGAGATTCCTCAGAAAACTAAAGGTAGACATACCGTATGATCCAGCAATCCTATGCCTGGGCATATATCTGGAGGGAACTCAAATTCGAAAAGACACCTGCACCCTAATGTTCATAGCAGCACTATGTACAATAGCCAAGGCATGGAAACAACCTAAATGCCCATCGACAGATGACTGGAAAAAGAACTTGTGGTATATTTATACAATGGAATACTACTCAGCCATAAAAAGGAATAAAATAATGCCATTTGCAGCAACATGGATGGACCTGGAGATCGTCATTCTAAGTGAGGTAAGCCAGAAAGAGAGAGAAAAATACCATACACTATCACTCATATGTGGAATCTAAAAAAAGAAAAAGAAGACACTAAATGAACTCATCTACAAAACAGAAACAGATTATAAACATAAGAAACCATCTTATGGTTACTGGGTGAAAGAGGGTGGGAAGGGATATATTTGAGAGTTTAAGATGTGCAAATATTAACTACTAGATACAAAAATAGATAAAAAACTGAATTTCTTCTGTATAGCACAGGGTATCTTGTCATAATCTTTAATGAAAAAGAATATGAAAACGAATATGTGGATGTATCTGTATGACTGGGACATGATGCTGTACACCAGAAATTGACACATTGTAACTGACTATACTTAAGTTAAAAAAAAATTCCCTAGGTAGGTGTTAGTTTCTCTAGAGTATTAGCATTGACTTTCCGTATAATAAAACAAAACATTAAGTTATTGCTCCTGCCTGCCTTGTGTGGCATTCTACATTTGGTTTTTCATCGGTTTATGCTAGCCACAGAAAGCAATCCACAAGTTTCATACTTATCTTCAAGAATTAAATCTAATCCTTAGTATCTGGTATTTTGCCTGGAAGTCTACTGATAAGAGATTATTGGAAGCTAGTCATAGAATTTGAAAATAAACTCTAGTCTTTCCTTTGCTATTTTTGGGTTTTCATAGAAGCCAAGGACTCACTGCAAAACATTTTTACAAGTATGACCAATTATATTTCATTTGGGAACAACACATTTTTGCCTGGTTTAGAATTACTGGTAGCTTATTTTGAAGCAAAGGAAAAAACAGCTGAGCACACATTTGCTGTCTTTAGAATAGTTTGCAGAAATGCGAAATAAAAGTGTTTTCATCTTCTTGTTGTTTTAATTTTGTTGGGGGGGGTAATTCAGTTTATTTATTTATGTTTTTAATGGAGGTACTGGGGATTGAACCCAGGACCTCATGCATGCTAAGCATGTGCTCTACCATTGAGCTATACCCTCCCCCGACTCTGTTATTTTAAATACTAGTGTACAGAGCTATCACTGTCTTTTTTGGTGGCCTTAAAAATTGTCCCAAATAGTGATATAAAGTGCATCAAACAACAAAGTGTCTTGGGTATGTGAAACTTTTGCTCTCCGTCTGTCTGTAACTTAATTTTCTTTTAAGATATAAAATGTTGCCTTTGGTACAACTAAAAACAATTAGTTTATTTTATTAAAAGAAATCAAATGGTGTGATGTGGTGAGGGATCAGTCACCAAAGTTCCAATCCTGACTGTATGTCTGTGGGCCAGAACTTAACTCCTCTGGGCCTCAGTTTCCTTACCTGTAGAAAGTGGAGGCACTAATGTGTGCCTTACAGTGTGGGCATGAGTGCTAATGAGGAAATCCACTTAAAGAACTTGGTGGTTTGGGGTACTGTACATGCTTAGTACACTAATGTTACCCATGACTCTCATTATTTGTACAGTCTTCTGTGATTGTAAAGTGATGTTCAGGAAATTCGTGCCTATGGGAACCCTCGTTCTTCAAGGTCAGATGTGTAGGGGGTTTATTTCTCTGCCAGCTACTGTAAGTCACTTCCCTGGGTCTTCCTTGCTGGTGGAAAAGCTAGCGCAGGGATGGGCAAACATTGGCCATAAAGAGCCACAGGGTAAGTATTTTCAGCTTTGCAGTCATGCTACAACATTCTCAACCCTGCCACTGTCATGTGGATGTAGCCACTCATTTACACACTGTCCATGGCTCAGTTCTGGATCTTTCCTTGCTTCTGCCAACCTCCCAGCTGCCCCTTGAATTTGATGCCTGAGGTAAGGCTCTGGGGGCTTGATCCTGGTTCTCCAGGAACGTCCCCGTAGCCAGCAGATCTCAGCCCTGCCCCAAAGAAGAAGAGAGGAAGAAACAGGAAGTCACCTGCTGCTTAAAAGGACTTCAAGACGCTGAAGCCAGTGCACTGAGGACTTTGCCAAGCCTGCATCAGCCTTGGTGAAAGACAGCTCATGTGTCAGCAAGCTGGCTGGAGATCTTCCGATGGAAGAAAAACAGGACACCCCTGCCAACAGCAACCACCAGCAGGACACCCAGCAAAACAGTGCTCCGGAAAGAGGGAGGAATGAGGAAGAAGGAAATGCCCATGTATGGGGCCAGGAAAGGAAGAAATGCAAAACCTGTAGCTCAGGTCACCTGGAGGCACCTGCCCTGTGGGGGGAGGTGCAGCCCTCCATGCTCTGCCCGCCCTGGGGGCCAGTTCTCTATCGCAGTAGCCCACTGATTCTCCCTGGGGCAATTCTGGCTCCCTGGGGGACATCTGGCCACATCCGGAGACATTTTTGGTTGTCATGATACGTAGGAGGGGTGTTAATTGCATCTAATGGGCAGAGGCCACGAACTCTGCTCAACATCCTCCAATACATGGAAACCTAACCCCACACTGACCCCCACAACAAAGAAATACCCAGCCTCAAATATCAACAGTGTCAAGGTCAAGGAACCCTGCACTTGCCCGAATTTGCTGGCCGCAGCCTATTGCTGAATTCTGCCTGCAAACTGCACACGCATCCTTCCGACACGCCGTTGCCAGCGCCTCCTCTCCACCCCGTACAAAGTGGCACTGGTTTTCAGAAAGGCAAAGTTCTCAGTCTCAGAAAAGACTGGAGTTACCTCCCTCTAGGGACTCTGGAACCCAGTGTGCTTACCTGAGTAGGGACTGTTACCTCCCAAGAGAGCACCGGGGGGCAGGAAGTTGCCTGTTATGGGCTGAATTGTGCCCCCAGCCCCGCACTCCGCATTCGTATGTTGCATTCCTAACCCCCCTCAGTATATCAGAAGGTGGCCTCATTTGGAAACAGAGTCTTTGCTGATGTATTTAGTAGAATGAGGGCATCCTGCAGTAGGGAAGGGCCCTAATGTGATTTGACTGGTATCCTTATGAAAAGGGGAATTTGAGACATAGGCACACACACTTGGAGAATGCCATGTGAAGACTTCAGTTCTGCTGCCACAAGCCACCAGACTGCCAGAAGCCAGGAAAGATGCCTGGAATGGACCCTTCCCCAGCACCTTCAGAGGGAGTCTAGCTTTGCTGACACCTTGATCTCGGACTTCTCCAGAACCATGGCTGACACCTTGATCTCGGACTTCTCCAGAACCGTGAGACAACGCCTTTCCATGGTTTAAGCCCAACAGATGGTGATACTTTGTTATGCAGCCCTAGCTAACTAATACACTGCCCAAGTCTGGATTTTGCAAAGGGACCTTTGCAAGGACAAAAGTGGAGACTTAAAGGGAATTTGGGGGGCCCTTGATCTGACCAAATGGTCCCATCTCTTAGGATTGGATTGCTGGTGCTGTCCAGGTAGCCAGGGTCAGCCAGAGCTTAGAGAGGGTGAAATGGGATGACGATACAGAGTGAAGGAGGCAATGAAGGTGATTTATGGGAAGTAAAGCAGAGAAAGTGGCTGCCATCCAGAGGGACAGGCTGGGCCACCAGACTTACCAGAGCTCAGAAAGGGTTTGCCACACAGGGGGCAGCTGGAGTGGCCAGAGAAGGTTCCCCGAGCCAGCTGGTGCCCGTTGACACACTCCTTCCTTTCTTGAGCATCCTGACCCTTGTCCTTCAGAGGCACTGGGCTCTTCCCCTGTTGGGGACAGAGGTGGGCCTTAGAACGCCCTGAGCATCCAGTCCCACCTCGAGTCACAGGGCTCTGGGGCCAGGGCCACTTTGACAAGCTGAAGAAGGCAGAGAGGCTTCCCCCACCCCTGGCCCGGCCCCCTGACCTTCTCCTTCTGTCTGGTGACTCGACTGCGGAGGGAGCTCAGTCTGCGTTTCACCCTGGCTCTCTTGTCACACCTCTCTATCTTGCTCGTGCTGTCCTCGCTCCTACGGGGAGGAAAGTTCGGTGAGGAGGGTGCAGCAGGCCCAGAGGGCTGTTCTGAGCTAGTCCTGTGGGTCTCTCCTGGGATCCACGTGGAATCTGTCTCCCTGGGGTCCCGCCTTGTTCTGTTTCATCCCTGCTGTGGTCCCTAACTTGCTCCTTCCTTCTCTCACTCACTTATTCACTCAACGAACATTCACTGATGTTGACAAAGCTCTGGGAACCTTGGGGACTGGGTTTACAGAGGGGAATGTGACATGGTCTCAAGTTTGAGCTCCTTAGATGGGCCTTGTCTATCCCTGCCTCTTTTCTCCGACTCACGCCTCCTCCATGTCTAATCAGCCTAGAAATTCTGTCCATCTTCCCTGTGGATCCTGTGGGCTGTCTCTCAAATCCCGCTCCCCTCTTCCCAGAACATTCTCCAGCCCCAGGTCAGTGTCCTTCCTCTCTGGGGTGACTGGCACAGCCTCATTTAATACATACATGCTAAGTCATTGCCAAACAAACCCAGTCCCTGCAGAATCTGTTCCCTGGAGGGAGATTGTGCACCTCCACTCTGCACCCCAGCCCGACAGCGCTCTCCATCACTCCCCAGAGAGCTGTGCTCCTCAGCTTTCCAGGGATGATGTGGCTTCTGCTGACTTCCCTCTCTTGGCCCCTCCCAGCCTCACCCTAATACCCTTCCCCTAAAGGCACCTATTTCCTTCCCCCGGCCTCATCTCCCTGTGTCGGTGAACTCCTACTCCTCCACTGGAACCCAGCTCAAGTCATCACCTCCCCCAAGAAGTCTTCCTCTGCTCTCCCATGGTGTATGAGGAACCCCCAGCCAGCTGCCGCCTCCACCGTTGCCCTGGTGGTTCCATTGAGAGGATGGGGGTCCCAGCTCCCACCCCCAGATCAGAGCCCACACAGAGCTCCCCACCTGCAGCTCTGCATACTCACTCAGACAGGAACTCAAACCAGGTGAGGTTCGAATGGGCTCCTCCAGGGCTGACCGACAAGCGAGCCCTCTGCCGGGCCCTGCAGGATCAGAGGGGCCCAACACCTGGGTCAGCAGCCCTTCCTCCCTCCCCCAGCTGCCTCCTGTCCTGCCCTCCCGCCACCGCGGCTTCCACTGATAGGTGTGCACCCCGTGCCTCATCTGAACATCCCTCCACACCTGGGCTTGTGTACGTGGTCCCTGTGGTGGGTTTTCCAGCAGAGGGTGGTAACACAACTTGGTCGAATAAAATCAGCATGTCAGGGAGATTTTCTAACATGGCAGTATTTTGGAAAAGAAGCAACTTTCCCCATTTGTACAAAGGTACCACACGGACTGGTGGCGACATGCTGCTCCCCAACTCAGGGACCCTGTCCTTTCCCGCACCTATGCCTCCTCCCACCTCTCCTGTCACTGTTTTCCTCCCATTTCTCCCCAGCTTCTCCATAACTGTCCCCCACCTGTCTTCCCATATCTGTTCCCCACATGTCCTCCATACCTGTCCACTCCTACACCTGTCCACCTCTACCTGTCTTCCTCATCTGTCCTCCCACACCTGTTCCCTCACACCCATCCTCCTCCCCTACTTACCCATGGTACTGCCGAAGTTCTTGAAGGACCTGCTGGACAATCAACCTGGGGTTGGGGAACAAAAACAGCCCACAGTTGGCCCAGGTTACAGACATTCCCCAAGACGGGCTGCGATTGCCCCATCGGGCCCCAGGTCCCGATGCAGCTCCTAACCAGGGGCTCCAACCCCTCTCCTGATGCTGTAGAGAACCTTTCTGAGGAGCTTGGGTCCCTCCCCTGGGAGAAGGAGGGTGTGGGAGAGATCTAGGTTAGAGGGGGACCTAGAGGGACCATGGCGGGCCCTGGTCACTTACATCAGCAATGCTCCAAACTGTGCCCCTCCTCCCTCAGCCTTGACACCTCGGCTATCCACTGGGGTCCCTCCCTCACCAAGCGGCAGACACTCACACATGATCTGGCTCCACGTGGTCCTTTTCCATGCATTCCAGCACCGGTGGATCCAAGCCTGGAAGTGGCGCCCACCCCAAGAGGCACAGGTGTGAGGGGACCCTGAGGCAGGACCAGCCCTGCATGGTGCCCCACCCCGACCCCACCCCACCCCTGCAGAACTGGAGACTGCCTGGGTGGGGCTTGTCACTCTGGGGGAAGAGAGGTGTGAAGAGGCCAGAGAGCCACGGATGGAAGAGTTCCCCAGCATCTCATGAATGCTTAAGATGTGCTAAGCACTCTACACGTGTGTGCACTCGGTGAACCCTGCAAGTGACCCTAAGGAGACAGGGTCCCATTCTTATGAAGAAAGCTGGGGAGGCTCAGAGACTTGCTAGAAAGTGGTAGATTCCGGTTTGGCATGTAGGTCTGTCTGACGAGGGACACAAGCTCTTAAGACAGAGATTCAGAGACAAAGAAGGAGATAAAGAAAGAGAATGAGACAGAGAAGAGAGAGCCCTGGGGGGTCATTGCAGTGGTATGTCCACCCTGGCTCTAGGCCTTGGGGAGGGGGAGGGGCGGGTGCTGGAGGACCGCCCCCGACTCCCCTGCCCGTAGTCCATTCCTGCCCTAAGACCCCTCCACCAGCCCCATCCAGGGGGCCCTGCAGCAGAAACCTCCTACCCGCCTTGGTTTGAATGAAAGAAATCCCCAGGTTGAGCTACCTTGAACAGCTGGAGTGGGCACTTCCAAAGCCGGAAAGATTTCCAGGGAGCTGATCTCATCAAAGGACGAGGGAACCGACCGTGACCTCACTCTTTTCTCGGGGCTGTCACATTCCTGCAGAGAATAAGCATCTCGCTAGGCCGAGGCAGCTGGGGCTGCAGGCAGGCTCTGCAGATCGAGGGTCCCCAGCCTCTAGCTGCAGACGGGGGCTGCCCCCAGCTACAGGGCACAGTCCCCATAGCAGCTGAGGGCTAGAGCCATGCCCTCCCCAGCCCTGGGCTGCAGTCCTGCCAAGGACCACCCCCAGCTGTGGACCAGAGTTTTGGAATTCTGAGCCACAAATTCCAGCCACGGCTAGGAATTTCCCCTCAAGTCATGGTCATGGGCAGAGGAGCCCCAGGCATGGGCCACAGTTCCCAGCTATGGGCTAGAATCCCAGACCTGAAATAAGCTGTCCCCAGTTGCAAACTCCAGACTCAGACAGGGCTTCCTTCCAGCTGCCAAGATGCAGAGACATCCCCTTGCTCCCCAGCCCAGGGGTTGCATTGGTGGCCAAGGGTCCCTTTCTGCAGACCTTACCCCAGCGAAGGACCCCCAGGCCTAGGCTGGAGTCTCAGGAATCAGCGACTCCTCAGTCATGGGCTCCGCCATGGACAACCCTGCTGTGATGCGTCAGCCCCACCAGGTGTGGGTGAGGCACGCCTTTCCACCTGCACGCAGAGCCTGGGCCCAGAGGTGTGTTATCGTCCTGGGTGGCTGTGGGTTGCACCCACCTTGCTTGGTTGCTCTGTGGGGGTTTCGCCCCCAGACAGACATTCTTGGGTCCAGGCCTGCAGGCCCCCTCCTGGCAGGTTCAGAGCAAGGCTGGCCAGCGTCCGGGGGAGACAGGGCCCCTCATTCACAGCTGAGGCATCAAGGCTAAGCCTGGTGGTGGAAGGGAGGAGGTCAAGTCTCTTCCGCCTGGTCGGGGCGCCCCAGCTCTGGTGTGACCAGCGTGGGGGCTGGGGTGAACCCGCAGGTGGCCCTCTTGGGGCGGGGCACAGACAGGGGTCCAGATCTCCCAGTCTCAGAGGGGTCGGTGGGGAGCCCGATTGGGGGATCCGCTGTGGAAGTTCCAGGTGGCTGGCATTCCCACTATTTTTACCAGACTGGATTTCTGTTTGGGGAGACCTGGGAGGGGTGGAGGGAGTGAGGGGGCGGTGCGGTTAAAGCACCCTGCTCCCCTGTTTGGGGTGGCCACTGGAGGGTGCGTGGTGCCCAGCTTGCAGCTGCGTTTTGATCGCAAGTTCATCTGGGGCTTCATGCACACGTGCAAGTCACATGCTTAGACTTCTCCGTGTGGATTTGCACAGGGCAGGGTGCATGCCTGTGGGCGCAGCGTGCGCGTGTACACCCAGTGTGCACATCCGTGTTCCAGTGTGCCTGCGGGATGCTCGCAGAGTCTTCAGTTTGGGCGGGTGCACGCTCATTCAGCGTGTGCGCGCTCATCCGTGCACCCGGATCCGTATGTTCACACGGGCTCTGTGTGCGGATGTGCGTGTGTCTCGGGAGAAGGCCTTTTGGGTTGCCTCAGATAAAGCACACGGCCTTGGTGTCCTTAACC